AATATGTAAATCATTAACATTGTTCAAAAGTCAAATAGTTTATTAAAAGGTATAGGCATGAGTATCATCTGCTCTGTGTCTTTCACCACATTCTCACCACCTGTAGATAACGTGCGTAAACCCTAGTTTGAAGTTTATCCTTCCTGTTTTTCTTTGTACAGATATACACATATACATGCATTCTTATTTACTCTTCTTTGCACAGTAGCTAGCATAGCATATGCATTCCTTTGAACTTTGCTTTTTTTCCACTTAATATAGCCTGGAAATCACTCAATGTTAACTCTTAGAGATCTTCCTCATATCTTTTTTACAGCTGCATAGTACATCCATCATGTAGATGCACCATGGTTTATTTGCCAAATCTCTGTGTGATCATTTAAATTGTTTTGAATATTGTGCTATTTCAAATAGTGCCATGGTAAATTAATGCACATGTGTATTTTGTATTGTTGGGGACATACTTTCAGTGCACATTCCCAGAATAGGCTCAGAAGAGATGAGTACATATGTAGTCTGGTTAGATATTGACAAATTACTGTTCCATAGCAATTGTACAATTTTGCAATCCTACCATCAGTATGTGAAAGTATCTGTTTGTCCACAGCCTCATCAACAGAATTTGTTGTCAAGCTTTTTTTTTTTGAGACAGAGTCTCACTCTGTTGCCCAGGCTAGAGTGCCATGTCATCAGCCTAGCTCACAGCAACCTCAAACTTTTTGGCTTAAGTGATCCTTCTGCCTCAGCCTCCCAAGTAGCTGGGACTACAGGTGCACACCACCACACCCAGCTAATTTTTTGTTTCTATTTTTAGTTGCTTGGCTAATTTTTTCTATTTTTAGTAGAGATGATCTCGCTCTTGCTGGGATCTCGCTCTTGCTTAGGCTGGTCTCGAACTCCTGAGCTCAAGCAATCCTCCTGTCTCAGCTTCCTAGAGTGCTAGGATCATAGGTGAGAGCCACCACGCCCGGCCTGTTGTGAAGCTTTGAGTTTTTGCCGATCTAGGATGAGAAATGGTATCTCAGTGTAGAGACAAAGCAGAGCCTAAGGAGAGAACACAGTCTGTACAAGAACCACCTGGATTTCTAGTTACATACAGTGCATTAAACATGTATTTCTTCTCTCCTCCCTCCTATACCTACTAAAATGAGAGTAAGGAGATATAAAGAACTTGAGAAGTAAGTGCTTTTTTTATTTAAACACTGCAGTTTTTTATCTATTTAAGGGGCATATGCATATCTTTTTTTTTTCCTTGTGAAATGTCTGTTTAGAACTTTTGTCCGTTTTTCTAACAGTATTTTGTTTCATTTACCTCAGTTTTGAGAGTTCTTTATACAGATAGTCCACGACTTACAATGGTTTGACTTGTGGTTTTCCAACTTTATGATAGTACAAAAACAATATGAAAGTAGAAACTATGCTTCGAATTTTGAACTTTGATCTTTTCCTGATCTAAAAATGTACAGTATGATAATCTCACGGTGCTGGTCCAAATCATCTAACATAAAGTCTATTTTATAACAAAGTGTTGAATATCTCATGTAATTTATTGAATACTGTATTGAAAGTGTTCTGAGTTTAAGGTAGGCTAGGTTAAGCTATGATGTTTGGTAGGTTAGGTATAATAAATGCATTTTCAATTTAGGATATTTTCAACTTAATGTCATAAATTGAGGAACATCTATATAGTAAGGATATTGTCCTTTTGTTTTTGACATATATTGGAAATATTTTAAATTTATCATTTGTCTTTTGAATTGGAGTGTTTTACCATAACAGATTTTTTTCTTTTATTGCATGATGCTTAAGAGAGGCCCTAAAAAGCTGATTGGAAGCTTTATGGGCAAGGCTAGGGCATATTAATAGGCAAGGATTTTGATGTTTCATTCTGTGGAATCTTTTGATTTAAGAGAAGAATCTACCAATTTCTTAATGGGTATAGACGAGGGGCCTTTTTCAATATATAGGTCTTTATTTATTCCTCTATTTTCCTCCGTGCCCATTTCTGTGCCTGGTGTCCTCAATTCTGAACATTCTTTGGTTCTTTTCTTTTTTCCACAGTAAACTTCCATTCTGCTCTCGTAGGAGTATGGTAGGTGCATGGTAGGTGCTTGGCTGTATGTCATAGGTTGGGGACCTGGGGATCTGTTGTTTTTTGTTTTTTTTTTTTTCCCTTTACAGACATAGTCTTGCTCTGTTACCCAGGCTGGAGTGCAGTAACACAATTATAGCTCACTGTAACCTCAGTCCTGGCTCAGGTGATCTTTCTACCTCAGCTTCAGGCACCTGCCTCAGGCACTACAGGTACCTGCGACCACACTCAGCTAATTTTTTTTTTTTTTTGGTGGAAACAGAATCTCGTTATGTTGCCCAGGTTGGTCTTGAATTCATAGCTTCAAGTGATCTTCCCACTCCAGCCTCTCAAAGTGCTGCGATATAGGCATCAACCATCGTGCCTGGCCGGATCTGTTTTTTATTCAGTCTTTCAGTCAATCTAGATTTTAGCCTCATGCATCACCGTTGTCTTAGGAAGTGGAGCTACAGATTCCTGAGTCCTTTGGGAATTATGTAATGAGAATTGGCTTACTTCTGCAGGCACTTAGGATGTCTGTTTTCTCAGTCCTATTAATTCCTTCATCTGTATTTTTATATCTCATTTGCTGCTGATTCCTCTCATGTTCTTCTTTAAACCATTTTTATTTACTTTATTTTCATTTTGGTAGGTTTTGGGAGGAGAGAGAGACATGAGTGTTTAATTCACTATATTTAACTAGAAATCCAGGTGGTTCTTTGTACATGATGTTTGTCTTCTTAGGCTCTATTTTGTGAGTGGTTAGATGACTCTCAATGAGGCTTTCTAGGTTCACAGTGTTGCACTTTTGTTTGTTGATTTAGGATTTGTTTGCCAGTGCTCAAATGATTCTGATCAGTAGCTGCAAAATTGGTTGCCTCTTACTCTTTTATGCCTTGTTTAACGTCAAGGAAGCAAGTTTTTAAATTTTTTTTTTTTTTTTTGAGACAGAGTCCCGCTTTGTTGCCCGGGCTACAATGAGTGCCATGGCGTCAGCCTAGCTCACAGCAACCTCAAACTCCTGGGCTCAAGCGATCCTTCTGCCTCAGCCTCCCGAGTAGCTGGGACTACAGGCATGCACCACCATGCCCGGCTAATTTTTTTTCTATATATATATTTTTAGTTGTCCAGATCATTTCTTTCTATTTTTTAGTAGAGACGGGGTCTCGCTCTTGCTCAGGCTGGTCTCGAACTCCTGACCTTGAGCGATCCACCCACCTCGGCCTCCCAGAGTGCTAGGATTACAGGCGTGAGCCACTGCGCCCGGCCATTATTACATGTTTTTATAGTTTTATTTTAGATGAATCCTCTTTGCTTTTTTTTTTCTTTTTATTTCAGTGGTTTTCAAGAAGTTGAAGTAAACATACCTCCATCCCTTTCTTTTAAAATACATGTATTAGTAATACAGTTTGAAAAACAGTGTTCAAAATCATCTTTCATTTAGGAAATTGAATACCTGTATGAGTAGCCACGCCAACACCTTTTCCCCAATCCTGTGCGCAAGGTATGATTCTAGTCTGACTCATTTGGTTGCAGTGAGTTTCATGTCATGGTGAAGGGAGGACAGTTCCTATAGAGAGAGCGAACACACACACACACACACACACACTCTCTCTCTCTCTCTCTCTCTCTCTCTCTCTCTCTCTCTCTCTCTCTAACTAGAGATCTGCCAGAATGTTTCTTTCACCCACCATCTGTCTCATTGTCTCTCACAGTGCTGCTGCTTCTGTCTACACTTCTGCTCCAGGACCTCCATGTGGCCCACTTTCCTGTGCTTGCCAGTAGTTTCTGTTCACTCATAAGTTCAGTTTACACCTGAGCCACGTCTTAGACACTCCAATCTCTCTCTCACCTACATTGGACCATTCTGTTCCAGCTCTTTCCTGCTTGCCAATGTAGTCTCTCACTGTTTCTTAATCATATTTCCAAGAAGAAAAAGGATAGGCCCAACCCATCTTTTTCTTCCACTTCTGATTTGTCCCTGGCCAAACAATAAATTGGCTGTCTGGAATCAGGTGTCCAGACAGCTTAGGGATGCGGTGGGGGGCGGGGAGGGAGCAATGGGGCAGCAGGGAAACATAGTATTCATGTATATAATGACTGTATAATGACTGCCTAAGCAACAAGGAACCAGGGATGGCACAGTTCACCTTGTTAAGTGGGGGAGGGCAGAGTAGAGCTGAATACATAAAATATTCTCTTCTTCAGTGTGCCAGTTTATTTTTAATGGAGTACTTTAGACAAATACTTAGTAGTGCAGATTGAAAATTGTAGGAAAGTAGCAGATTTTTAAGTGTCAAAATTGACTGCAAAAACCTGTCCTGGTTCAGTGCTATTTTCTGTTTGCATTATGACTTTAGTGGCATGGCGTGACAGAAAGACCATTAAACTAGAAGTCAAGACTCTTAGACTCTAGTCCTGTTTTTACTGTTCTGAAAGGCTTCACATTCCTCCTCAGATAAATTTTTAAAAGATTGATGGAGTAGAATAGTTTCTAAGGTACCGTCTAGCTATAAAACCTTGTGACTCAAAGTGTACTGTACCAAGCTGGGAAAGGTAATTTCCACAAGCATGGTCAGGTTATAAAACTGTAACGTGAAATCATAAGTATAGGTTAATATAAAAAATTAGAGAGAAACAAGAGAATAACTGGACCACATTAGCAAGAGATGCAGGAGTTTTGTAGTGGGCCACACCCTTCTCATTTGAACTTGTTTTATTTGAAGATGAGATGATTGTCATAAACTGATGTAAGTCAGATATTATAGTCAGAAGCTCTTTTCCCAACTTGAGTTGCACATAAATAGTGCAGTGCATTACTGTAAGTGTAGTACTGAAGTTTGAAATGCTTTTGATTGTTCATGCTTTTTAAAAACCACAGCGGGATATTCAGAACAGTTAAGTAACTTGGGTTTCTTTTACTTTTTAGGATTTAAGTGCCCTGTATGCTCAAAATTTGTACCCTCAGATGAAATGGATTTGCATCTCGTGATGTGTTTAACAAAGCCAAGAATAACCTATAATGGTAAGTCCAATGCTTTAAAATAATATTTAAAATTAGATTTACCTTACATTTTATGAATTTCATGTTTTTAGTAAAATCTAAAAGGCAGGGAAGGACCTTGTTTTCTTTCTTTACTAAAGCAGTGGTTCTCAAAGTTTTTGGTTTGTGAACCCCTTTTCAGTTTTAAAAAATTACTGAGGACCTCAAAGAATTTTTGTTTATGTGGATTATATCTGTCAATATTTATCATTAGAAATTAAAACTGAGATTTAATTTATTTTTAATTTATTAATTCATTTAAACAATAAATATAATTATGTTGACATAATTTTTAAATCAAAGGAAATAAATTTTCTAAGACAAAATATTTAGTGACAAGAATAACATTGCCTATATTTTTGTAAACTCTTTAATATCTGGCTTGATGACAAAGAATTATCACATTTGCATTCAATTTGTTGTGATATGGCATGTCATATGTCCTCTGGAAAACTCTATTGTTACTCTGGAGAGAATAGCAGTGAAAAAGGCAATGTCCTAGTGTTATTATGAAAATCATTTCTACCTTGTTAAACTAAAAAGATCTCAAAGACTCCCCCACTTTCCCTACTCTACAAGATTCTTTGGACCACACTTTGAGAACTGCTACATTGAAATAAAATCTTTCAGGTCAGGCTTAAGTAAAAAGTAATGTTCATAATGGCCATTTTCAAAAGTAAGCATGCATGGTTGAAACTGCAACTTTTTGTTTAAGAGTATATAGTAAATGAAAGGTACATATTTAGGAATAGAGAAGATAAAAATTTATTTAATACGTATAGTAAATAGATGGCTAATGAGAGAAAAGAAAGGCATGAAGGGAGACCAAAACTCCACCTATGCTACGCATATCTGTCTCTCTCTGTCTTTCCTTCCATAGACAAATAAAAAATTTCAATCTGAGAGCCCTGAAGCTAACTGGTATTTTAGTTTGTTCTGGTGCTTTAGGCTGTGTCATTCTTTCCTGATCAAAATCTTTGTATAATCTGTTCAATAACATAGGAGAGATTTTCAATATAGTCTTGGCACACATTGGAATAGACTTGGGGGAAAAAAATCAAATAGTTCTGTCCTAATAAATAGAATAAAATAAAGGAAAAATGAAAGTTTTTTTCAAAATTTTATAAATAGGAAAGCAAACTTCCAAAGTTTGAGAGAAATTTCAGATTTTTTTAGCTGTATATTTTGTTTGAAGTAAAGTGAATAGAAAGAGTACCAGTTGCCAGTAAACAGTATAGCCATTGAAAAATTGGCTTATTGCAACAAATATCTTTTGAGCACCTGTTGTGTGTTAGGCACTGCGTTAGGGACTAGGGGTATAGCAGTGAACAGAGATACAGCTTATAGCCTACTAATAGTCACTGAGCTAAGATTTATTGATTGAATAAAGGTATTGCATGAAAAACATAGTAAATGTAGTAGCACTTTGTTAATCTGAAATTTCTCCTCTGATAACAATTGTTAAGAGGGGTAGAATGCCACATTGAAATGAGCATATTACTTTGAATAGCTTTTTGTAAATTCATCTAGAAACTAATCTCTCCCTCTCTTTCTCTCTAAGAAGGTAATGTTTCAGCCACACTATTACAGTAATGACAATAGAGCACTTTTTTCCCATTCATTTGCCAATGAATGTGTGAAAGTGGCTTTTAGCAATTACTTTGAATGGTAAATGTACCTGTTGATTATATCCTAACCTTTCTGCATTATGAAATTGAATTGACTATTTTGCATAATCTAGTTGAAGTTCAGTTACTTAAGAAATAAAAAGTGGTCTTATTCAGGTTCAAAATTTAAGGCTAAAAGTGTTCGGGCTTGTTTCTCGTACTTGCTTCATTATCTTATCATTATACTCTGTAATTATTTATGTTTAATACAAGTGTCTTTAAAATAAGTATCCTTAAATGTTAAGCCTCTGGCCCTAAATTTAAAAAGCACAAATATATTTCCTTTGACCGTATAATAATATATTTATACTCAATGTTGGTATTCCGTACATTTATTTTTTGTGTAATATATCTAGAATGCAGTCTTATTATGTATTGCAA